CATGCTCAATGGCCTGATGGAGTGGAGAAATGAAGGAGATGGGACTGTGGTGTGACAATGCCCCATCAATGGGTGCTTTCTCCCTGTTTTCTCTCCATTCTGTCTGTCTCTGACAGTGCATTAGCCCTCTGGCCAAAAAAAAAAAAATAGTTTATTTAATAACCCACTAAATCCATCATTAAAGTGAAAAAAGTCCATTAAGTTTGGGACCTCCTGTATACTACTGGTGGGAATGTAAATTAATACTGTCATAAATAAAAATGAGAACTACCATATGATCAGTAATCCTGTACGTTATAGAGGATTCACAATAATCAAGATACAGAAATAAGCTAAATGTCCATCAACAGATAATGGATAAAGAAAATGTAGTACACATACACAATGAAAAGCTACCCAGCCTTTCAAAAGAAGGAAATCCTAATTTACAATATCATCAATGAACTTAAAAGAAATTACATTAGGTGAAATAAGTTTAGGTACAAATACAGCATTTCACTTGTATGTGGAATCCAAAAAAGGTTGAACTCATGACATAGAGAGTAGAATGGTAGTTAGCAGAGGCTGACAGGAGTGATGCAGTAGGGGTTAGGAAGATGCTGGTCCAAGGATACAAAATTACAGTTCAATAGTAAAAAAATAAGTTCAAGAGATCTACTGTACAGGGTGACTACGGTTAATAACAATGTACTACATTCTTGAAAATGGTGGGCCAGCAGGTGGCATGGAGGTTAAGGTCGTTTGATCCCACGTGGTGGACTGCACAGTTTAATCAGACCCAGCTGCTTGAAAAACACACATGTGCATGTGTACACAAAATCTCAAGAGAAGAGAGATGGCAGCATGGCCATCTCCCCGGGTGGTGATTTCTCACTTTCTCTCTCTGTCTCTCTCCAGTGCACACATGCACTGTATAGCAAACTAAACAAAAATAAATAAATAAAGTTTAAAAAAAAAAGAAAGAAAATGTCTAAGAAATAGATTTTCAGTGTTTTACCACAACAAAAAAAGCATTGGGAGGTAATGCATATGGTTAATTAACTCAACCATTCCAAGATGTATAAATATTTCAAAAAATCATTTTATGCATAATTTTTACAATTTTTATACAATTGTATACAAATTTTTATACATTTTATACAATTTTTGATTGCCAATTTTGAAAATTAATTAAAATATCTAAATAAATACACCGATCAATAAAAAACTGACAATAAACATCATGCAGTCTTTTTTTTTTTTTTAGTTTTTGCTATGGTGTGTATGCACTCATTAGAGCCAGACAGAGAGAGAGAGAGAGAGAGAGAGAGAAAGTGAGAAATCGCTCCCCAGGAGGGATGGTCCACTGCAATCTCTTCTCTATTCTCTTAGAATTTTGGACACATATTCACATGTGATGATGTGTTTTTCAAGCTGCCATATCTGGGACCTGAACCACACAGTCAGCTTGTGTGAAACAGCTACCTTAACCTCCATGTCTGCTGGCCTAACGTTATGAAGTCTTATTATCTTTTTAATTAAAAAAAAAATTCATGATGATAATATACGCACACTCACATTGAGAGTCAGACTGGAAAAGAGAGGGAAAGGAGGGAGAAGGTCCAAAGGGTCTGGTCACACCATGATTCTCCTCCTCTGGCCTTCTAACCCACTGGATCCTAGGCACTTGTACCTTTGCCTGACATGTTTCAAGCTGGCCAGGCTGGGGATTTGAACTGGCTCACCATGTGGGATCTAGCTGTCTTTGAGCAATGCATTTCTGTTATTCCACAGAGCTGCACCACATAATCTATTAATATTGTCTATTTCTCCATTTATTTAGGTAAATTTTAATTTTGTGATCTTCAATATACATGACTCTCATATATTTTGTAAAATTAATTCTTAAAAGTTTTATGTCTAGGAATGCAAATGTAAATGATTATTTTTTAAATTTTCAATATATACAAGACAGAAAATGGAAGCTAGTAGATGCTGTAGTGGTTACATAGCTGGAGGTAACCACTACACATAGTTGACTGCAGCTTGAGGCCTGGACCCAGTGGCTTGAAAATCACATTGGATTCATGTGCGTGCTTGTCCAAGATCTCAGGAGGAGAATGGAGGAGAAGGGACTACAGTGTGGCCATACCCATTGGGGAGTGATTTCTCACTTCCCCTCTCACGGTCTGTCTGTCTGTCTCTGGTAAGCACACATGACCTAAGGCAAAAACCTCTTAAAAAAAAAAAAAGAAAATGTAACACGTTTCTATTTTTTAATTTTTAAAAAAAGAATTTTATTTATTATTATCATCATCTTATAATTTGCTATAGGACATGTGCACTTACCAGAGAGAGAGAGAGAAAGTGAGAAAACAAGCTGCCAGGTCTGGGACTTGAACTGCGGTCACCCGTGTGGTGGGAGTCCCGTGCCTTAACCACCACGCCACCTCCTGGCCCCCACATAACTGCATTTTTAATATCGGTAGTGTGTTCCGTAACTTTACTAACCTTAATTATTATTTTTAGTTTTTTTTTTCACATTCCTTAGGATTTTCTACATTCTTAATTGTGTGACCAATAAATTAAGCCTTACTTCATCCCTTCAAGCTTATCTATCTTTTCTTCCTTTTTCTCATGCCTTTTAAAACTAGCCAGAGCCTCCAGAATTATACTGAATAAAAGTGCTAAGAGCTGGCAAATTTGCTTTGTTTGCAATCTTATGAGGAAAGAATTTAGTTATTTACCATTAAGTACGGTGTTAGACAGGTGGTTTTTGTTTGTTTGTTTTGTTTTGTTTTGTTTTTTTTTGGAGAGATTTTCACTGTAGGGCACGTGAGCTCGCCAGACAGACAGAGAGAGACATAGAGACAGAAAGCGAGAAATCACCCCCCGGGGGGATGGTCACGCCGCAATCCCTTCTCCTCCATTCTCCTCTTGGGATCTTGGGCACGCACGCACACGCGCCCGGCGTGAGTTTTAAGCCACCGGGTCCAGGACACGAACTGCGGTCGACTACATGGGAGTCCAGCGACATAGCCATTACGCTAACTGCTGGTTCCCTTTTTTTTTTTTTTTAAATACATGTCCTTTAGCAGGTTGGAAAAGTTGTACAGGCTTCCTAGTTTTTTGAGTTTTTATCACAAATGACTACTGAATTCGGTCAAATGCTTCTGCATCTATAAAAATAATCTATTGCAGGTTTTCCTCCACTATTCTGATAATCCCGATAATATGCTAAATTACACTAATTTTTTTTCTGTTAAGCCAATCCTGAATTTCTAAGATAAACTCCACTCGATCACAGTAATTATCCTTTTTAGAGAGTACTAGGTTCTACTTGATTGTATTATGTTAAGGATTAACAAAGTACATTCATGAGGAGATACTTATCCATAGTTTCCTTTTTTCTGTAATGCCTTCATTTGATTTTAGTATCAGGATAAATCCTGGTCTCATAAAATGAGATGGCAAGTGTTCTCTCATCCTTTATTTTCAAAGAGTTTCTGTAGAATTCATCTTATTTCTTCCTTAAAGGTTTGAGAGAATCTACCAAGGATATCAATGAGAATGAGTAGATCTGACATTTTCTTTGTGGGAAGGTTTTTATTTATAAATTCAATTGTGTTAACAGATATAAAGGTACCAAAATTGTTCTATAGCCTTGAATCCCATTTTGATAACTTGTATTTTTCTTTTTGGAGAGACTTTTGCTATAGGGCATGTGCACTCACCAGAAAGACAGAGACAGACAGAGAGAAAGCGAGAAATCATGCCACAATCCCTTCTCCTCCATTTTCCTTCGGGATCTTGGGCACGCATGCACATGTGCCCGGCATGAGTTTAAGCCACTGGGTCCGGGATTCGAACGGTGGTCAACCACATGGGAGTCCAGCAACATAGCCATTACGCTGGTCCCCAGATACCATTTTAACCAAAATGCCAAGTTAATGATAAAATCAATAATCACTACTTTTCAGAAATACTAATAAAGGACAGTTTAACAATCTGTGGACCATGCTGCTCTCCAACTTTCTCATTAGTAAAGACATGTTTTACCTTTGCAAATGTTTTCAAATATATTATTCATCCCTTTCCCCCAGGTATAAATTTTTCAGAGAAACTGCTAATTTCTTAAATACGTATTTGTATATAATGATACTCAAATTTAACCAGGTATACAAAAAATAGTTTTAATGCTCTATTTCAGCAACATTTCCATGTGAATCACACAGTGACTTTAATTTAAGGTCAGCTATAATACCAAACTTATAAATGCTTGCCTTAAAAACATGTAATACAGGGGGCAGCAGTTAGCATAATGGCTATGTCTCTGGACTCCCATGTAGTTCGACTGGAGGAAGGGGATCACAGCAGGACCAGACTCTGTAAGAGGGTATTTTTTCTATCTCTCTGTCTATTAAAGTACTTTTGGGACCAGCAGTTAGCGTAATGACTATGTCGCTGGACTCCCACGTAGTTGACCGCAGTTCGCGTCCTGGACCCGGTGGCTTAAAACTCACGCTGAGCACGTATGCATGCGTGCCCAAGATCCCGAGAGGAGACTGGATGAGAAGGGATTGCGGCGTGGCCATCCCCCCTGGGGGGTGATTTCTCGCTTTCTGTCTCTCTGTCTCTGTCTGTCCTCTGTCGGTCGGGGGAGCACACGTGCCCTAAAGAAAAAACCTCTCCAAAAAAAAAAAAAATGTACTTTCTTATGGGGACCAGCAGGTGGCGTGGTGGTTAAGGTGCTGGACACTCCCACATGGCAGACCATGGATCAAGTCCTGGACCTGGCAGCTTGCTTTCTCACTTTCCATCTCTCTCTCTCTGGTCAAATAAAAATAAAATGAATGAATATATAAAATTTTTTTAAAAAAAGATAGTACTTTCTCTCAATTATGTACTCTATCATGAATAAAGAAAAAGAAATTTTAAGCTCCCCTGGTAATTTAGGATGCATGTCCAGCCAGGTTGAGAACCGTGCAAAGAACAGGCTACTATTTAGGCTTGAAAATTACCTTGATCTGCTGTCTCCGTAGCATGGCAAGTTCTCTCATGTCCCGGAATGGCTGCAGTAAATACTGATAGAGTTCAGTTGTGGCTTCCGCAAGGCTGCTGTAGGCTTCGTCCTCCATCTGATACAGGTCCAGAAGCTCCACCATGCTCTCTATATTCTTGTGCTTATCCAAGAGCTGTGGAACAATAAAGTTTCACTAGTAACAACATCAATTTTAGTAACATATAAACTCCTTCCTTATCTATCACCTTTGGACCCTCTAACACTGAAACATACAAGGAAACTTTAAAATTTACGGAAAAATGAAATCAAAGTACAAGTTGATTCTGGTGCAAATATGCCTTCTCCACGAGCTTTTTGAAGACTGCACTTAGAAACAAGAGAGAACTAAACAGACTGACTGCCTTTCATCATTCATCTCCATGTGTCAGATATCTCATTACTCAAGACTCTTGCATCACTCCTTTGGGACTCCTTAAAGTCTACTTGGCTTTAAATCGTTAAAATTTTGTCCATCATCTAGTAGTTTTCAAATGTACATAGAAAAAGAACTGGAACCAAGAAAACCACTTCACTACTAATTCACAGAGTACTTCATCAGCTCTTTAATCTTCTTGCCATTCCTTTCTTCACGCTGATTTGGACCATTTCTTTAGAGTTAAGAACAAATATAAACTATGTTTTAAAAAAAAAAAGGTTTTAGAGTTCTGTTCTCAAACATGCAAGTAGTTTAGTTACCTTTAGCTGCTTTGTATTTGAAAAGCTTTTATTTAGATCTTGCTCCATTTACAATACATTCTTTGGATGTATGTAGTAAATAAAGCTTTTTTTAAAAGCAAAAAAAAAAAAACCCACCTTTCTTTAATTCACACTAACACCTCCTTCAAAACAAGTTTTTTTAATGTTGAAAATGACTTTATTTTTAGGCTAGAGGGCATGTGCATGTGCGTGTGTGCAGGTGCATGCATGCGAGAGAGTAAGAGATAAAGCACATCTTCTCAGAGCCTGGTCATGCTCCAATCCTTTTATTCCCTCCAGTTCTCCATCTTGGCAGGACCCTAGATGCACATGTGTGCACCTGGCATGTTTTTTAAGCCACTGGGGACAGGACTTGAACTCTGGTTAATCATGTGGGATCTTTCTTCTTCTGCCCAGTACTGAACTGCTGCATGATGGAGTTGGCCCCAAATCAAATGATTTTTGGATGTTGTTTTGAAAAGGCATAGCCATGGTGGTGCAAATGGTACGGCACTATTATGTAAGGCTGAGCACACATGCAAGGCCTGGGTGCAGTTCCTAGGGCAACCTAAACAGGCCAGGTACAGTGGTGTGCCCTGGTAATCCTGACAAGAAGATCAAAACCCATGAATGCTGTCCACAAACAAAACAAAACAAATCCCCTCCATTCTCTCTCACTTAAAATAAATAAATAAATAAATAATAAAATAAAATAAAAACACCAAACAAAGTCCTTGCCTCTACTGAAGAGCTTAAGCCTGACTACAGACAAACATCTCTGCATTCTTTGGTACTCACATGCCCATGCACATTTTCATTCATTCCTCAACAAATATTGTTTGAACATCTGTTCATGGTAGGCACTGGTCTAAGGAGCTCAGCATACAAAAATATGGTCCTGGTCCTCACATAGCTTACAGTGTAGTGAATAAACAAAAACCAAACTTTTTCCTTTTTTAAATTCAAACTGACAAATAATACTGATTATTAATAAAAATTTTAAAAAGATTGTAATAAAATAAAACCAAGGTTCCACTAGGAAATGTAAGAGGTGGAGAAACTAGTTTAGAGAGCAGATAAGAGGGAAAATGTCTACAAAGAAACTTAAAGAACTGAAAGAGCCATGTAGCAAGACAGCGCTTTACATTTATCCTTGGTTTCCATTTACCTGATGATAGCATTATCTTCCCCCAAGACACAAATTCTTCTACTCTACTAATACCTATAGTTTCCACTATCTTTTTCCCACTTTCTTGCTATGATCATACTGTTTGTTCTTAAAATTATACTGAATCTAGACTTTTATTTCCTGCTCAGGTTTTTGACACAAAGTGCAACAGCACCTAGATAGTTTTCTGCCTACTATATTATTAACAATCATCATAAACCAGATAACCTACAGTAAAGTGCTCTTATGACGAAGTGCTGTGCAAATATTGGCTGTCATTCTATTGTTTTAAAGCTATTTAACCCCAATTTACAAAGCTGAAGTAGAGAATTTTTACTTTCGTTATTAACTGAATACATCCATCAGACCAACTCTTCCACTGGTAATAAATACAACTCTGGGGGAAAAATTTACAAAACTACTACCTGAAGGCACTATAGAGTGACCAAGGTAGGTAAAAATCGGAGGGGCATCAAACACTTGAAAATAAGAGAGACCCTGAGTGATTTTTTTTTTTCCCATGGCTTTCAGGCCAAGGGTACCCTAGTAGGTACCAAAAAAGGGGAAATATATGGATAAAAAACATGGATAAAAACACATTCTTGTTAGCTTCAAGAATCAGAGGACAGAGTTCATTTGTTTTCAAAACAAATGTAGCTACGAGGGAGAGTGAGGGGGATAGTCTGACAAGGAAAAACGCCTAAAGGAGAAAACACTAAATTTCTGCGTAAACTCTACTCAAATCTCTAGCTGATCACTGGAACTATGGATGCACAGGACAGGTTCTATGTGCAGTCCAGATAAAACTTAAGCATAAAAACTTACTATTTCAGCTGTATGTTGCTTCTTTTTTTTTAAACTGCCAGAGGGTGTGCAGGCTTGTGTGTGTGCGTGTGTGTGTGTGTGTGTGAGAGAGAGAGAGAGAGAGAATACCCACAAAGGCATAATCACACTGAAATCCCTTCTCCTTCATTTCTCCATGTATTGGAATTTTGGGCACCCAGACACATGCACCTAGGGTGTCCCTCAACCTACTAGGGCTGCAATTTGAACTGTAGTTGGGCATGTGAGATCTGGCTTCCTGAATCACCAGGCTACGGGCTGGCCTTTCAGCCATTCCCTTCTGTAAGGAGGCAGAGTGGACTATTTGAATCCAATAGAATTAACTGTCTGCTAAAACAAAACTGTAAAAATCAATACTTTGTGGGGTCAGGTGGTAGTACAGTGTAAAGCAAGACATTCTGCAAGGAAATTCCATATGGGAAGGTCCCTAGTTTAAATCCAGAGACCTTCCTGAACATATTTGGCACACATGCGCCGATGATCTGGGGCTGGCTGAAGGCTGAAAGGGAAGGCATTTGGCAGTATCAGGACCCTGTTAGGAGTGCTAAGTCTCTCTCTCTTCTCGGTGTCTTTCTTAGTCATGGAAGAAATGGATGAAAATAAATAAATAAATAAATAAAAAATAAAGAATCAACATTTTATGGTCCCAACTAACAGAATTCAGAGACTCTACAATGCCTGTGATCTAGTCCAAAATTAGTATTTCTACAAAGAAACAGGAAAACAAAACTCAATACTAAAAAGGCAATCAAGGGAGATGAACCACAAGATATGAATTTAGCAAAGATTTCAAAGTAGCTATTACAGTGATGCTAACGGTCACAAAGGAAATATAAAGAATAAGCAAATAGAAAATCTCAAGAAACAGAAACAAATAAATAAAAATACATCCTAGAACTGAAAAATACCTGAAGTAAAAAATTCACTGGATGACAAAGAGTTAAAGATAAATGATGTGACCTGGAAAAGGGGGAAAAATGAATAAACCCTCAAGAATTCATAAGACTATATTAAGGTCTTAACATATATTTAATTGAATGATTAATGAGGAGAAAAGTAAATGAGAAAGTATTTCAAGAAAAATCTAGCTGCTTTAAAATCTTTGTCTCCTAAATTCGTATCTGTTTCATCTTTTCCTATTTCTTTATAAGTCTGCTAATTTTAGATTATACCCAAATTTTTTGGTTTTTTTCGGAGAGGTTTTTTTTTTTCTTTTTTTTTTTTTCCCAAATATATCAGAGTTTATTAGGATCCTCCAAAAACTTGCCTCTACTAATAGTAATTTATCTAGAAATTTTAAACAGGGCATATTTGGGGGTAGGGGAGGCCTGCCAAGCAAAACTTACTAAATGATACGGTATATTATTAATAAAAATCTAGGCAACTAAATCTTTCTACAATTCGTCCTTTAATAATTTTTTGAACAAAGTCAATTTAATGAATGTGGAGTGTGTATTTTATTGCAGGAGAAATGGGAAAAAATAAAATGGTTTGATTTCCCTGAGAAAAATATAATTGCTGTCACAATGACTGAGTAATAAATACATGAGTAAGTTTAGCAAATATACTACTTCGAGTGAGGTTATTTAGCTAAGGTTTATACTCCTGACATTTTTTTCCCCCATTTTTTAAAAGAATTATTTATTTAATTTTAAAAGATTTATTTATTTAATTCCATTTGTTACTATTTTTATGTTTTTCTTTTTACCTTTTTAAATTTAAATTTATTTATTTACATTCATTCACTATACATCATTACAGCATACAAAATGAGATTTCCCATCCAGAATACACTGTATATTGACTCAATCATGCACAGCAACATACGTGTTATTGTCACCAAATAATTCTCCATTTCTTGTTTCCTGTATATTTTGCTTTTTTTTGGTCATCCTTGATTTCCTATTTCCCACCCTCTGCCATGTCCCACCCTCCTCCCACAATGTCTCTGGTATCCATGGTTGCTTTCTATGCCTTTTTCCCCCATTTTATTGATTTGCTAATGAACTTAATTAATCTAATTATTTCCAATAGCAAACGCAGCAGATATATACATATCCATGAACACAACTCTGACTTTAGGCATAAATCTCAGTGAACATACTATAGAATAAACATACTATAAAGTAGCACCTAGCTGGGGCTATATAGCTTTACTGCAGTCATCAAAAATGTTTTCATCTTTTTTTCTCCTGAAACTTTTTTTTTAATTAATTAATTTACATTCATCCCCTAAGCATAATCACAGCATACAAAATGTAGTTTCCCATCCAGAATATACTGCATAGTGGCTTAATCATGCATGTTATCATCAATAATTTTCCATTTCTAGTTTCATATATAAATATATATTCACCCCTATGTCTGTCCCTCTGTCCTTTCCCACCCTCTTCTCACACTCTCTCTGCTGTCTACAGTTGTCTTCC